ACAAAAAGGCGGAAGGGAGATATTTGACAACCTAATATATGGACGAAAAAAATCATGGATGTATTAATTTAGTAAAAGTGATCCAAATTTATAATCAAAATTGTCAGTTTAACCAATATAACCGACAAAGTAAAAATTGTAAACATAAATTACTATCAAAAAGTATATTCTGAAAATTATTAAAAATGATATAATTTTGAGAACGGCTGAAAAATATCTTCAAATTAATTTACAATAATAGATTACCAAACAATTGTGCATCACTAAAGCATATAAAACAATATTTGGAATCATGGGTCGATTGTTTATTTTACTATGTAATCAGTAAAGGATCGCATCTAAACTGAGAGCTGAAAGTTAATTTCAATAATGTGAATTTGCCATTACTTACATAATCAGAAGTTAACATATTATTTACTAACTTTCTGGTATTTAGTAATTGTTTCCAAAGAGAATTATATTGAAAGATTCCCGAAACTCGTTTCATAATTTCGAGTGGTTTATTCTGATAACATTTAAAATCTAAAACACTTAATTATTATCAAAATTGTGTATTGATATTTCACGAACAAAATCGCTCTCAGCGCTCCGTAAAATAAATAAACACGCAAGAACGACGACGCACTGTATCGCCCATACGGTTAACTCATATCGCTCGAACGGCTTGAAGTCGGGATGATTCGAATCAGAATTGAAGTCGGAATAACTCGTAACGCCGCTTGATTCGGTTTGGCTCATGAAGTCGGAACAACTCATAACGCCGCTTGATTCGAGTTGGCTCATAATAAGTCGGAACAACTCATATCGCCGCTTGATTCGAGTTGGCTCATATGAAGTCGGAACAACTCATATCGCCGCTTGATTCGGTTTGAGTCATGAAGTCGGAATAACTCATATCGCCGCTTGATTCGGTTTGAGTCATATGAAGTCGGATGATATAGTTAGTCGATGAATGCGGTTAAAGTTATATAAAGACGATTGGAGTCGGCTGATACATTTAAGCATATTAAAGTCGGGTGGCTCGCATGATTTAATTCGTTGTTTATTTTTTATATTTATGATATTTATTTTTTATATTATTATAATATTGAATTAAATTAATACATTTTTTTTATATTTATATTTATGAAAAATTTTATATTTATGAAAAATTTGTGTTAATACATATTTTATCACAGTAAATATTTCGCGGCTTGATGCGAGTTGATTCGAATCAAGTGAAATCTGATTCGAATCAAGTCGTTAAAGGCTTGATTCGAATGATTCGAATCACTTGATTCGACTTGGCACATCACTAGGACACACCTGTATAAATAATTATAAAGTAAATACTGTAGCATTAAGAAAATTTATAAATAGAAACCTAGTTGGCTTAAGGGTAAATAATAAAAAATGCAATCAATGTCAATTATTAAATATAACAAATGTATCTCTAGTAGTACAGCTTCTGACAAAGTGTCGAGGTTGAAAATTATTACTTGTGAACACGTGTATACCCAAGGCTCGGTATTGCTATAATTTAAACTTGGCGATGCTGAGTTCGAGCACAAGTTTACCGTAATATCTGACAGTATTGACATTGATGCAGACGGTATAATAGGATTGAACTTTCTTTTAAAACACAAAGCCCAACTTGATTTTTGCACTAATACGTTCACGATGGCGAACAATAACAAACTAATTACAGTTTCACTGGGCGATACAATAAATATTAATACAACGCAACGTTTTGATGACTCTACTGAAACCGCGCCGACATCTCGCATGGATAAGCGCATTGTAAATAAACAAAAATCTGAGCGCAGAAAATTGAAAAAAAATTAGTGAGAAAAATAAATTATCAAAGACAGCTAGCATAAGGGAGCACTGTTAGCAGTACTGAAATACTAGAGTATCCTATTGCTTTTGTGACTCCTGCTTTTGTTAAAACTGTAAATAATCAAAATAGGGTAGTAAAACCCAATAATAGTCATCGTAGGGCTAGTGAACCCACGATTGACATTTCTGAACCACGACTGAAATTTAGAATATAAAATTGATAGATGACTTAACAAAGACTCATGTAATTCCTCCCAGGACAGAAACGACAGTTTCCTTTACGATCGATAGAGTACGTAAACTAGAGGGAGTTTATGTTGCCAATTGTATTTTAAAACTTTCTAATAAAAGACTGTTTATTCAAATAATAAACACTAAAGATAAAGAAGTAACAATTACTGATAAATTATTTTTACCGACTCTGTATCCGCTTAACGATTATCAAATATTAAAACGAAATAAAAGTAATAATGTGAATTACGATTATGAACGAATAAAAAGGGTAAATTGTATTAGAACCGATCACATGAACTATGAGGAAAAGGAATCAATATTAAAAATTTGTGAAGACTTCTACGATTTATTTTATCTGGAGGGTGATAAACTAACTTGTACTAATTCAATAAAGCATGCTGTTACGACTAATGATGCAAAACCTATTTATATAAATCAATATAGGCTTCCTCAGGCTCAGCAGATTGAAATTAAAAGGCAAGTGGACGATTTGCTCAAAAACGATGTAATTGAAGCTTCCGACAGCCCATGAAATTTTCCGCTTCTGGTCGTTGCAAAAAAGCAAGATATAGATGGTAACAGGAGATGGTGCGTCTGTGTCGACTTTAGGAAACTGAATGAAATTACAGTCAGCCACACTTATCCTCTGCCAAATGTGGCCAAAATCTTGGATCAACTAGGAAATTCTAGTTTCCACTCTAGATTTAGCTAGCGGATTCCATTAGGTAGAATTAGACGAGAAGGATTGGACGAAGATAGCCTTCACAGCTATAGGGAAAAAGTTTCAATACAAACGTATGCCATTTGGTCTTAAAAATGCTCCTAGCGGGTTACAGAGGTTGACTAGCCTGGTTTTGGCCGGTGTTGAAGGACTCAAAAGATTAGTATACATGGATGATATTTCCAACCATTCATCTTGACAACCGATGCTAGCAGCGAGGCAGTTGGAGCCATGGCCTGTAATCTCCGAACAAAAGTTTGTAGCTCGGTTTTAGTTAGAGCTGCTCTCCCTAGGTGCGCTCTTGAAGCGATTTGACACTCATCGGGTAAGAATTTCAACGCAATCAAACAATTTCGAGAACGTTTGTCATTTTCATGAGTGCCGTTGTCGTAGATAAGGTTAAGTCGTTGTATTCATTTGAGTTTATCAGTGATTAGGTGATTAATTTGCAAGCAATATGTCAAAGTGTTATGTTCCAGGGTGCACTAATACTGAAAAAAATGCAAAATTGCATGTATTTCTAGCGAGAAATGACAAAGTACGTATTAGGAATAAAATAACCAAACATTAATTACAAATAAATATTGTTTTGGATGTTGTAGATGTTTGCTATTTGGCTGGAAAGAACAAAATAATCCTGATCTGGAGAAATTAACACCTTTGCGTTGCAATAGGTCTCGGTTCGTGTGTGACGCACATTTTGCAAGTATATGCAAAAAAAAATATAACAGGCACTACACTAAAACCTAATGCATTGCCTACATTAAACATGTCAGGTAGGCGATTCAATATAATATAATTTTCGCAACAACATTTTTACACTAATGTTTTCTTATTTAGGTTTCAGTGGAGATCCATATGCAGAACAAAACTGCCTTCTAGATAGAAACACATACCGTAATATATTTTACATATACTCTTGAAATGAATTATAATGAGTTTACATAAAAATATCCTTATGTAGAACTAGGTGTTTCAATACGCAAGAGTGAGGATATGGCACAAACATTTTTGAAGGTTTCGGGTATTGCATGCATGAATGACATGGGCAGCCAAAGCAATTCACTTATCATTACATAAGCTTTAATCGATTTGTATTGTTCTAATATAAAATTTCATTGTAGCTTCCTTGGACCCTACAATAGTAGAGACACAAGGAATGTTTGAGCCATCTTGTAGCAAGAAAGTCGAAACTAAAGAAGGAAAACCGTCCCTGAAATGTGTGTTATTTAAAATTTTTTATCCTACAATTTATGTTCGTAGCAAATGATTCTTGGACAACATTATTCATTCTTACACTTTAAAAACTGCGCGCTTCGTGCGTACTGTTAGCACGAAGCGTCAGCATCCTATATGTTGGTAACGTGTATGTCAATCGCAATGTTCGCGTTTGACATAACCTGTCGCAACTTGTACATAGAACTAATAAGATACACTCTCTTACATTATATACCCCTAGACAATATACTAATATACCTATGTTATATACCTATCTATTGAATATATAATATTAACAAGCCATCCAGTGTTTTAATTTGCCATAATTTGGTCTTTCTCACGGATATTCACCAGTGCAAGTATTATTTTTGAGATTTTTATACACTGTGGTGAGAAAAGTTTTTACATATCTAGTATTTTACCGGCGTGTATTGTTTGGTTACGCATGCGGCATTAGAAGTGATCTAAGCCGTTCGTAAACAACATGGAAAGCATAATAATTTTATCGACACGGCCAAGCAGTTCGGGCGTTGAAATCGTGACATTTAGAAGATCTGGGGGTTCCGGACTTTGAGGTTAGGCTTCACATCGCTGTCCAAGTGAAATTCTTGTATTGGACCACGCTGTTCAGATCGACGAGTTCGTAAAAATTGGCAAATCTCCACACTATTTGGGGAGGATATCGAGGCTAAAATCACACGTGGAGACTGGATCAAGATTATTATTGACTCGTGTAATACATACACGAGGGCGTGAGTCATTAATTAAACTTATTGTTCACTTATAATATATAAAAGTGAAAGACTCTTGCTGTATTGCTGACTGGTTGTACTAACACAGGAGTCGCAGATCACTCATCAGTCACCTAGTTAGATCATATTAAGTCATTTTAGTTTCTGTTTAATCTTACCATAAGGCATACATCATTTATAGTAAACTAAGGTATTTTGTCACGGTTTGTGATTATAATATTTGCAATATTTTTGTAGTTTAATAATAATTGTGCATAATGGCGGATGTGGAATCACTAGAAGGTACTTACAAAATGATTAAAGCGTCATTTGATGCAAGTCACAAATTCATAGCAGAATTCCGTGAGGGTGATAATATTAAGGCACTTTCAGTTCGAAAGCAGAAACTTGTGGAACGATGCCATAGTTGGGATGAGACATATGTACAGCTTGATAGCATTTCCCCAGGTGTGTACACTACAGAATATTCAAGGTTCTCTGATTTATATTTCGATATGATGGCGGATATTGAAACTATTATTGACCGCCATCCAAAACCGGCTATAAAATCATCTAACACTTCGATAGATGTGAAATTGCCAGACATTGTGTTACCTAAATTCAATGGGGAATATAGTGAATGGACAGCATTTATTGACATTTTTAATTCGCTGATCCACGACAATTCAAAGCTTTCGCCTGTACAAAAGTTGCACTATTTGAAAGGTGCTCTCACTTCGTCGGCATTTGAACTAATTTCTACAATAAGTATCACGAACGAAAACTATGAAATAGCTTATAATTTAGTTGTGAAAACTTTCAGGAATAAATTCTTGATCGTCAATACTCATTTGCAGAGCATTGAAAATATTCGAAGTATTCACAAAGGCCCCTTTGAAAATTTGAGAGCCCTTTTAAATGGTGCAAGGCAACAGGTGCAATCTTTAAAAGCTTTCTTTGAACCCGCAGAGCATTGGAACATTGTCTTGCTGCATATGTTGAGCAGAAAGAAAAGTATTACGAAGGTGGCTTGAAATCGGTCTCGAGCGTCAGGGCAGTTACCTACATTGGTTGAGTTCTTTACATTTCTTGAACTCAGGATAACTGCTCTTGAGCATTCGTGTGGTTCAGACAGCAAACCAACCACCACGAAGTCAGTTCACACAATTGTCAAGAAACCTGCACAACTATGCTCTCATTGCAAGGAAGATGACCATATGCTCTATCAGTGCTCTTCCTTTAAGGCACTTGATATTAAGTCAGGCAAAGCCTTTATTAATAAACTGTCTATCTGTTCGCGTTGTTTGGCTTCTCGACATAATGTAGACTGTAGACAGAATTACACAATTATTACCGTCTGCTTATATAGAGTATGATGGCTGGAAGATGCCAGACCATGTTTCGCTAGCAGACCCCATGTTTAACGTTCCAGGTGTGGTTGACATGCTGATTGGAGTGGAATTATATTTTGAAGTTTTACAGCAGGGGTGCATTCGCTTAGGAAATCATCTTCTCATTCTTAGGAGAAGTTGCTTCGGGAGGCTGATTTCTGGTGTATACACATCAGAAATGCAGAGCCATGCACATGTTGGCTTCATTTCCAATGAAGATCTTTATAATAGTCTGACAAAGTTCTGGCAGTTAGAGGAGGTATCCTCTTATTATACAATGACTGGGTCAGACAAAGCATGTGATGATCATTTCGTTGCAAATGTAGCTAGACTTGAGAATGGGCAGTCTGAGGTGGCTTTGCCATTTTTAGATAACCATATAGATAAGCTTGGGTCGTCATTCGCTGTTGCTAAATATAGATTTTTGAACCTGGAGAGGCGGTTTGCCAGGGATAGTGCCTTGTTCACAGCCTACTCCAATTTTATTAAAGCTTACATCGACTTAGGTCATGCTGAGGAGATGATGCTGACACTGGAGAAAGCTGCTAAGAATAAGTACTATTTCTTGCCGCATCATCCAGTGGTCAAAAAGATAATAATTTTGACAAAAATAGGGTAGTGTTTGACGCATCGGTCAAGTCAACTTCAGGCATCTCTTTAAATAATATTCTGCACACAGGACCGAAGCTGCAACAGGATTTATTTTCTATTCTAGTTCGCTTTAGGCGTTATCAATTTTTTTTTGTTGCAGATATTATAAAAACGTATCGGCTAATAATAGTCAGGGTGGTTGCATATTGCTTTCGGCGGTTCAAAATATTTCGCTCTCGAAAACCAGATGGACATCCGGTATCAGACCGGTCTATTGACGATTTGAGGGTAGCCTCCAGACGTATTTTTTACCTAGCCCAAAGGAAAGTTTTTGGTAAAATTGCTGATCAGTTGATGTCCGGTGAGTTGTCCAGTACATCTTTAGGTAAGCTGAAGGCGTTAAATCCCTCTGTGGACGCCGAAGGCTTACTAAGAGTAGGTGGTCCACTAGAGAATGCGGACATTAGTTATGACCGAAAACATCCAATTATTTTACCAAAGGCCAATTTGGCCATTGACATTTTCATTCGATCAGAGCATGAACGTTTGCTACATGCTGGTACCCAGACTACTTTAGCAAATATCAGATTAAAATACTGGCCTATAGATGGTCGCAACACTGTCAAGTGCATAATACACAAATGTGTAAAGTGTGCTCGGTTTAGGGCTACTTGTGCAGAGCAGCTAATGGGAATTTTGCCAAAAGACCGGGTCACTGCTTACAGGCCATTTCAGATTGTAGGAGTGGATTTTGCAGGGCCAGTGTTATTAAGAGCTAGTCGATTGAGGAAGGTACCTCGCATTAAGGCCTATATATCCCTGTTTGTTTGTATGGCCACTAAGGCCATTCATATTGAGTTAGTGTCTGGATTGTCAACAGACGCCTTTTTATCGGCCTTACGTCGTTTTATAGCAAGACGTGGGTGCTGTTCAGTCATCCACAGCGACAACGGGAGAAACTTTGTAGGCGCAAAGTCTGAATTGCGGCAATTAGCTACATTATTTCAGTCTGATAAGTCAAGAGGGGAATTATACACTTAATCGTCATCGAATTTAGGTATTACATGGCAATTCACGCCTTCCCATGCTCCTCATTTTGGAGCATTATGGGAAGGATCTATCAAAGTGATGAAACATCAAATTAGAAGAATTATCGGGTCTCATTGCCTCACATTTGAGGAATATACAACGCTTCTATACCAAATCGAAGCTGTACTAAATTCTCGACCTATTCTCGCCCTTACGGATGACGCGCACCGATATAGCTTACATCAGTCCGGAGCACTTCATTATTGGAAGTGCATTAACAGCCTTTCCAGAACCTTTTAGTGACGCATCCAAAGTTAAGGCAATTAAATTATTTCAACAGATATCAGCTATCCGTGACCAATTTTGGTCACTTCGGTCAAAACAATACCTTAATGACTTGCAAAAAAGAAATAAATGGACACAGGTCTAACCAAATATTAATTTAAATACAATAGTGTTGTTGGAGGAGGACAATTTGCCTCCATTACATTGGCCCGTTGGGCGTGTAATAGACATCAAGCCAGGTCCAGATGGCAAGGTTAGCGTAGTGACAGTCAAAACTAGTAGTGGGGCATATACTCGTCCAATTACAAAAATTGTTATACTACCCTGTCAATAGATTGTAAGTCACTATCTGCATTTGTTCTTTTTTACTGTTTTGTTTACATATTCCTTTTTTAATTTAGGCTACGATAGATTAATAGTAATAAATTAATCAATGAATGAATATTAGCTAGATTAGGAAAAATATTAGTTGTTAGTTCAATTGCTATTTAGGATACTATATCTTTTTTATTATTAAGATTTAATTATGTTTAGCATTATGTTTGCTGATTGCATATATATTAATTTTGATTTTATATTTTAGATTATACAGTCCACTGTTGATGTACTCATTTTGATTACACACTATTATTAGTCTTCTTGTTATGCACATTATTATATTGTTGTTATACCATGACTATGTATTATATTTATTATTGTTATATTATTCTCATTTTAATTTGATATTATTTGTTAGATTTGAGATAATTGATTATTGTAAGAATAATTTTGTTACTTCCTTCATAATAATACGTGATGCTTGCATCGCAGGGGAGCATGGACAAAATTATTCATTATTACACTTTAAAAACCGTGCGCTTCGTGCGTACTGTTAGCACAAAGCGTCAGCGTCCTATATGTTGGTAACGTGTATGTCAATCGCAATGTTCGCGATTCACATAACCTTTCGCAACTTGTACATAGAACTAATAAGATACACTATCTTACATTATATACCGCCAAAGAGTAAACATCTATTGAATATATAATATTAACAAGCCATCCAGTGTTTTAATTTACCAATTCTAGATAAATTTTTTCAACAGAAATTCGTAACTCAAGATATAAGCAGTGCGGAGACCAGACATGCAAAGAACAAAATTTATACCATATAACAAAAGTGTTGAGAAAGGAAGTAAGGAGAATAAATATACAAAAAAACAATGAGGCAGAAGTTACAAGAAAGTCTCAAATGTGCTGAAAATGTTGCTCATCTCCCAGCAACATTAAATAAGAGGGCTCGTAATTTTATATTAAGTCAACTAAGAGAACATACGAAAAAGCCAAAAGGAAGGAAATTTACGCTTAATGATAAAATTCTTGCTTTAACTCTGCATAAAATTTCTCCAAGAGGTTATTACTTTTGGAGAAAAATATTTGTTTTGCCTGCTCCTCAAATATTGAGAAAGTTGCTCTCAGCAGTTCCTTTGTATAGTGGTATTAATGATACCCTTTTCCAAACATTGGGTTCAGCTATGGCACAGAAAAAAATGTGAATAGCAAAACTTGTGTTCTAATGTTTGATGAAATATCATTATCATACGCAATATTTTACGACCGTAAAAAGGATCATATTGTTGGATTTCAGGAACTGGCAAATGGCAGGAAAAGTTTATTTGCTGATCATTCTCTTGTCTTTTTAGTTAATGGCATAAAACATCGTTGGGTGCAACCAGTTGCATTTTACTTCTCTGATGGGGGTGTGAATAGCGTTAATTTAAAATATATTATTGTAGATGTCATAAGAAAACTACTGAGTATTGGTCTAAATGTTATTGCGACAGTTTGTGATCAGTTGGCTGCTAATGGCAAAGCTATAAATATGCTTCTTAGAGATACTGAGGAATTGTATAAAGCACAAAATCTTGAATGGAATAGACATATTTGAAATAGATGGCCATGAAATAGTTCCTTTGTATGATCCTCCACATTTGCTAAAATGCATGAGAAATAACTTTATTAGGTATAATGTTAGATTTATGGATCAAAAAGGAGATGCATACGAAGCATGTTGGAAGGATATCAGAGACTATCGTGACTTTGAGAGCAATTTGGGCATGTTTCGCCAATGCCCTACTTTAACGGAACACCACCTTGATGAAACAAAAATGAAAAAAAATGAAGGTTAGCTTTGCAGCACAAGTATTTTCTAAACGGGTAGCGCTTGGACTTCAATATTTCATTGTGCATGCTCACGAAGCCAATGTGAGTGCTACTTCGGTAGGTACAGGAAAATTTTTGGAGTTCATGAATTACCTTTTTGATAGTGTTAATGGTTTATCTCAATTTTTAACAAATGGCAATATATTTCGTTGTGCCATTAACGATAATTCTATACATATTAAATTCTGGAAAATTGCAAGGCAAGTGTTAGATTCAATGTACTTTATTAAAAGTAAAGATACAGTTAGAACCATAATGAAAACTCCTACCATTAAGAATTGGATCAGAACCATAGATGAGTTGGAACATATATGGGGAAAAATCCGGTTAATTAATGGTTTTAATTTTTTGTGTACGCGAAATTTCAATCAGGATCCGTTAGAAAACTTTTTTGGCAGCATAAGAATGCAAGGTGGATGTAATAATAATCTAAATTATTATTCTTTTATATCCTCCTTTAGGACACTGATTATAAATAATTTATCATTACGTCATTCGCCTTCTTCTAATTGTGAAGTTGATGACAATTGTGGTTTACCTGCTGCTTATCGAGTTTTTCTTGATAGCGATCATGTTTCGAATAGAGAGGTTTTTTTATGAAGAAGTAGATAAGGAGCCTTTTTTTTCAAGACGTGACGCTTTACAAAAACACATATGTTGCAGGGTACTGTATTAAGAAACTGATAAACAGTGTCCAGGATTGCCACACTTGTGCAATTGAGCTATTGGAAAATCCAATTGGAAAAGATGAAGCATCTTGGATTGAATATAAAGATTACACAGGAAATTCTCTGAAGGTTCCAGGGACAACATTTTTTGATTTATTTCGAAAATGTTGTCAAGTATTGGATCATTTCATACAGACACTATGCACTGCAGACAATATTAAACTAAAACTATTAGAAACACTTGAAAAGTATGTTCTTCGTGAATTAATTTTATATTAAGTCAACTAAGAGAACATACAAAAAAGCCAAAAGGAAGAAAATTTACATTTAATGATAAAGTTCTTGCTTTAACTCTGCTTAAAATTTCTCCAAGAGGTTATTACTTTTGGAGAAAAATATTTGTTTTTCCTGCTCCTCAAACATTGAGAAAGTTGCTCTTAGCAATTCAGTGGCAAACACTAGATATACCACGCCAGTCAAAATGACTGGTTGAGCACTTTCAATTCAAAATTCCCATTATATGTAATTTTTTTTTGTGAAATGAAGTTATGACTTTTTAAGTTAGAAGTATAGAAATCATCTTATGAATTCAATTTTACTTTATATATATTAGTAACAAAAATAAATTGTGTTACTACTACTTGTACCAGCACTAGTCAAAATGACTGGAGCCAATTTCTATAGAGAATGAAAGAATCGACATGACAAAAGACATAGATTGCATGCATTTATCGCCTACTCTTTTATCGACGACAATGTATGGTATTATTCTTTATTCTTTATCATTTGTAAAAATGCAGATTGCAGGGTTATTACTAGTTTTTTACGCAGTCTTGTTCCGAGTTTCGTTCAATACATCAAATAAAATTTTATTCAAAGTGATTATAAGTGAAATTATTTATTCATTTTGTACAGTGATAAAGGTAAGTAATATTTATGTGAATACGGAAATAAAATAAAAGGGAAGAAAAAAGTCTCAGTTTCAACTTATTTTTATAGCATTCATCACCTATAGAAAATGTCAAGAGGAAGAGTTTTAGATTATTTGAAAACTGCAACCAGTATTGCTCTAGAATGTTCGGATGTAGAAAGTGAATTATATGATAGCGAAGGTGAATTTTTGGATAGACAAAACGATCCACAAGGGAGTGTTATTAGCGACTGTAGTGATGTGGAAATTTGTGATAAAGACAATACAGACGGAACAAGTGATAGTGAAAAAAGGTGAAAATATTCCAAACAAACGTAGACGATGCGTGCGACTTTCTTCCAGTTCTGAACACGAAGCTGAAGGTAACCCACAAAATGAAGAAATTGAAATTGGTTTAGATGGAACTGTTTGGACACGAATTGAAGCAGGAGGCGCTGCAGGTAGATTACCTGTTCATAGTACTTTCGAAGGCGTTTCCGGGCCAACCGCACATGCTAAAAGAAATATTATGGAAGGAAAAAAGTGCATTCCTGTTAGTCATCGACAACAATATTTTGGAACATATTAGAAACTGTACAGAGTTGGAAGCTTCTCGAATTTTGGGAAAAAAGTGGTCGATTACGCAATCAAAATTGAAGGCATTTTTTGCAATATTGTACGCACGAGGGGCGTACGAAGGAAATAATTTGAGACTCCAATATTTGTGGAATACTAAGTGGGGACCATCATTTTTCTCTAACACTATGAGTAGACGTGATTTTTGTGAAATTTTGCGATACATTCGTTTTGTCCAAAAAAATCAAAGAAGTCAATGTTTGAAAACGGGCAAATTCGCTTTAGTTTCAGTAGTTTGGGATAAATTTATAAAAAATAGCCAAATTTGTTTCAAACCGGGAGCTAACATTACTGTGGATGAGCAGCTGTTT